GTGAGCCCAGGGCTGGGGGGCTTGGGGTGACCCCATACTCCCTGTGGGGTGAGGAATGGAGCTGCCTGGCAGGCAGGAGTGAGGGTGGCTGCAGCTTCTCTGGCTCCAACCGTGCTCTCTGCATTTCAGGGCAGCGATGCTGACAAAAGTGAGGACAACCTGGTGGTGGATGAGGTCAGTGTGCTGGGGCACTGGGAGGGGTCTGGGGTCAGTGTGCTAGGACACTGGGAGGGGTCTGGGGTCAGTTTGGGCTGTCCATCCCCAAGGGTGGCACTAACAAGCTGCTCCAGGCAGAGGTGGCATCACAGGGAGGTGCCAGTGAGCCCCAGGATCCAGGCTGGCAGCCTGACCCTTGCTTGAGCCACCATAACCTGGGACATCCCTGCTCTCCAGCCTGCTCTGCTCCCTGCTGATTTCCCTCCCTCCCCAGGACCCCTCTTCCCCGCACAGCGTCCACTCCTACTCGTCCCGGGAGAACGGCGTGGAGAAGGTCCCGCTGGGCAGGAAGGAGGCCGTGCCCCTCAGCCCCACCTCCATGGCCTCCTCCAGCAGCACGTCCCCATCTCGGAGCAAGGATGCACCCACGGTACGTGTGACCCACTTGGGGCTGTGTTTGTGTCCTTGCTGGGCTCAGTCACAGAGTGGCCATGGGTCCCCCCCACCTCCAAACCCATGGATCCCCCCACCTCCAAACCCATGGGTTCCCCCACCACCAAACTCATGGGTGCCCCTGCCTCCAAACCCATGGGCCCCACCACCTCCAAACCCATGGGTCCCCCTGCCTCCAAACCCATGTGGCAAAGTGCTGGAGGGGCAGGAAGATCCCACAGACCTTTCAGCACTGCCTGGGCTTGGCTGTCATTGAGAGGGACCCCCTGGCAGGGATGTGGTGCAGTTGCCACCTCCCCATTCTGTTCCTGGCAGGTGGAGAAGGCAGGAACACCCAGCCTGAAGTCCAGCACGCCCACCTCTCAGGGTGACACCCTGCCAGGCTCCAGCAGTGCCCAGTTTCGCCCCACGGCTGCCAAGGTCCCCGTGGACCCTCTGGGTGAGCTTGGCCCCACTGGGACCTGGATGGGTCTCCAGGCTCTGTCTTCAGGGTCCCATCCCTTCACTCTGCCTCTCCCCCAGCAGCCCTGGGCCTGAGGAATCCTCTGGGAGTGCAGAGCCCCTACTCAGCCGCCTTTGGCTTGGCCCACCCTGCTGTCAACGGGGACGTGGCCGGGAGCGGCGCCTACGCCAGCCTGCACCTCATGTCCCCGCAGCTCAACGGGGCCGCGGCCGCCGGGGGCTACGGGCGCTCGCCCCTGGTGAGTGACCCCGTCCCCGAGGGGCTGTGGGGTCACAGAGTGACAGCCACCCTCACCCCACTGTCCCCTGCAGGTGGGCTATGACCCGCACCCCCACATGCGCGTCCCGGGGCTGGTGGCCGGAATGCAAGTGGGGAACTCGGGAAAGCCGTAAGTGGGGATGGGCTGGAGGGGTTGGGCTGGGGGAGGAGTTGAGGTGGTGGCTTCTGGGGGGGAACTGGGGGTGTGTGGATGAGCTGGGGGAAGCAGGGAGCAGAGCCTGGGGGAAAGCTGGGTTGTGGTTGCCCAGCTGGCATCGCTGGGTGTGTTCTGCTCATGGCTCTGACTCCAGACTGTGCTGCCTGTGTTGGACCTGCAGCCCCTGTCCATGCAGGATTCTGCTCTGCTTCTCACTGCTCTGCTCCCTTCCAGTGCTTTCTCCTTCCATGTTCTCTGCCTCCAAATCGTGCTGCCTGTTGGTGCCACGAGCCCATGGTGCCTGTTGGACTCATGTGGCACCAGCCCCTGTGCATGCAGGATCCTGCTTTGCTTCTCATTTCTCTGCTTCTCACTGCTCTGCTCCCTTCCAGTGCCTTCTCCTTCCATGTCCTCTGCCTCCAGACCATCCTGCCTGTGTTGGACCTGTGTGGCACCTGCCCACGCAGGATCCTGCTCTGTTCCTCACCGCTCTGCTCCCTTGCAGTGCCTACTCCTTCCACGTCAGTGCAGACGGGCAGATGCAGCCGGTGCCTTTCCCCCCCGACGCCCTGCTGGGCTCCGGCATCCCCCGGCACGCGCGGCAGCTGCACACGCTGAGCCACGGCGAGGTGGTCTGTGCTGTCACCATCAGCAACTCCACCAGACACGTCTACACCGGGGGCAAGGGCTGCGTCAAGGTCTGGGACGTGGGGCAGCCGGGCACCAAGACGGCCGTGGCTCAGCTCGACTGCCTGGTGAGGAGGAGGAGGAGGAGGAGGAGGAGGATGAGCAGCAATGCTGTTGGGCTGGGGCTGGCAAGGGGAATGTGGCCCTGCTGCAGTGCAGGGGACAGAGGGGCCTTTCCCAGCTGCAGTGGGAGAAGGAGAAGTGTCTCCTGCCAGGCCCTGTGTGCTCACCATGTGCTCCTTGCCTTGCCCTGCTGCCTGTGCCCCCCGTGCAGAACCGTGACAACTACATCCGCTCCTGCAAGCTGCTCCCCGACGGGCGCAGCCTGATCGTGGGGGGGGAGGCCAGCACCCTGTCCATCTGGGACCTGGCAGCCCCCACGCCCCGCATCAAGGCTGAGCTCACCTCCTCTGCCCCCGCCTGCTACGCCCTGGCCATCAGCCCTGACGCCAAAGTCTGCTTCTCCTGCTGCAGCGACGGCAACATCGTGGTGTGGGACCTGCAGAACCAGACCCTGGTCAGGTGAGTTTGGGCCAGGGGCTGCAGGGCAGCACTGCTGGGGACTCCTCTGGCCAGGATCCCCTCATTGTCCCCTGCAGCATGTCCCTGTGTGTGACCCTGGCCATGGCACAGTGCCTGTCCTTGCACTCCTCACTGCTGCCCTGCCCTCGCTCCGTGCTGCAGGTGCTGCCTGCCCTGCCAGCTGTGCCCTCTCCCTCTCCATCCCTCTCTTTCCCAGGCAGTTTCAAGGCCACACAGACGGTGCCAGCTGCATTGACATCTCCAACGATGGCACCAAGCTGTGGACAGGGGGCCTGGACAACACCGTGCGCTGCTGGGACCTGCGGGAGGGCCGGCAGCTGCAGCAGCACGACTTCAGCTCCCAGGTAGGGCTGGAGCCCTCTGAGCACCCTGGGCCAGCTGGCACCTGCTGCTGGGCCAGCCTGTGAGCCTGTGTGTCCCCTCAGATCTTCTCCCTGGGCTACTGCCCCATGGGAGAGTGGCTGGCCGTGGGCATGGAGAGCAGCAACGTGGAGATCCTGCACGTCACCAAACCCGACAAGTACCAGCTGCACCTCCACGAGAGCTGTGTCCTCTCTCTCAAATTCGCCTCCTGTGGTAGGCACACCTCTCCTGGCTCCCCTTGCTCTGCAGCCTCATGGATGCCACCTCTACTTCTGTCTGTGTGTCACAGGGCTCGTTGCACTGGGGACAAGCCAGTGGTAGCCAGCCCTTCATGGTGGTGATGGTCAGAGAAGGGGTGTTCGTCCATCCCTTTTGGAGCAGTGCTGGCTGCCAGAGCCAAATTCCTCTCTGTGTTCCCTTGGCTGCCTCTCTCTCTGTTGGATCTGCTGCTGGCTCTGGTGAGGTGACACGATGCTGTTTTGTCCCTGCACAGGGAAGTGGTTTGTGAGCACAGGCAAGGACAACCTGCTCAACGCCTGGAGGACGCCCTACGGCGCCAGCATCTTCCAGGTGAGGGTGGGGGCTCCTGGGCTGAGGCTGCCCACCACAACCCAGCTCTAATTATGTGCCAGCCCCATAAACTCACCCCTGCAGCCTCCCCAAGGAAGGGGGGATGGGGATCTTGCTCTGAGGCTGCTGTTTGTGCTTCCCCCTGTTCTCTGCAGTCCAAGGAAACCTCCTCAGTCCTCAGCTGTGACATCTCCACGGACGACCAGTTCATCGTGACGGGCTCAGGGGACAAGAAGGCCACAGTTTATGAGATCATTTACTGAGCCCCAGAGGTGCCAACTGCAGGACAGGCAGCTGTCCACGGGGATGGACAGGTGGACTCTACCTGCCCTGCTGCTGACTTCCCAAAGAACGTGCAGCCATGGCTGTGGCATCCCAGCTGGAGGAGAGAGGAGAGGGGTGGAGGTGGCCCTGGCACCGTGGCCAGGCATGGTGCAGGCTGCTGCTCGGGGTGGATTTCCTGGGGACTTTCTCCTTGTTTTGTTCTTTGTGGGTTTCTTTCTAAATCTAGACTGTGGGAGTTGGAGATGAGGGGGGGGAGGTCTGGCATTGTTAGGGGGTTTTGTTTGGGTGCTTTTTTTTATTTTTGGTTTTTAAGCTTTTTGTTGTGGGGTTTTTATTTGTTTAAGGCTCTGGGCTTGCCAGGGTGGATGGGCTCTGGGTTTCCTTCCCTCTGTGCCTCCCAGGGTGTATTTAATAATAAAAACAAACCAAAAAAAAAGAGGCAGCTGTGCCTTGTCCTGGGCAGTGCCCTCGATGCTCTGTGTGGGTGGGATGAAGCCAGGTGGGAAGGGGTGACACCACAGCAGGAACCTTGTCCCTTTTGGTCACAACTTGCTGCTCCTTTGCTGTGCTGAGGAGGGTCTGAGGGGGCTCCTCAGTGGGCAGAGCCCATTGCTGGCCCGGCTGGAGCAGCAGCGTGGGCACAGCGTGGTGCTGGCTCTGCCGTGCCCCAGTGGAGCAGCCTGGGGCTCTGTGGGTGCGGGGGAGAGGAGAGGCCAGCCCTGGAGGAAGTGGTTTGTGAAGGAAATGAGATGTGAGCACTCAGCGCCTGCCTTATCGGTCTGGCCGCCTGCCAGCACTGCCGTGGGCGAGCCGGGCTGCTCCCAGGAGCCCGGGGCTGCCAAGGGCTGCGGTGTGGCAGCTGCTCTGGGCTCCTGCCCCAGCCACAGCTCACCACAGGCACCACAGAGCGCTGCAGGCCAGCAGCCACACCTCTGCCATGCTGGGAGCGTCCCCTCCTGTGCTGCTGGCCAAAATCAGCCCCCCAGGACACCCTTCAGAGCCCAGCCCTTGGCACAGCTGGCAGCACTGGCTGGCAAAGGTCCCTGCTCAGAACCAGCCCAGCCCTTCTTTTGTGCATTTTTATTAGTAAGGGATTGAAAACATATTTAAATACATTTCTTTACTGATAATTTACAGCTGTTTGTGCAGCAGAAAATGGGTGCAGTTAAGTCAGTAGCAGTAACTCAGGAGACACAGGCTCTCAGGCTCTGTCCAGCTCCCTGAAGGACAGACAGAACCCAGGATGTCCAGCCCAGCCCTTGCCCAGCCTCAGGGGACGCCAGGCTACACCCAGCCCTCAGCTCCTGCAGGAACCAGGGCAGGAGATGGGGCTGGAGCCTTGGTTTGGTGCAGAAAGCAGTGCAGGAGGAGGGAAAGTAGAGCTGCAGGAGGGCAGGTCCAGTACTGGAGGCCTCTGTGAGCCATGGTGGCATTGGGCAAGGTGTGTCCCCATTGCTGATGGTGACAGCAGTCAATAAACCACCTCATACACTGTGGCCTTCTTGTCACCAGAGCCTGTCACGATGAATTTGTTGTTGACAGAGATGTCACAGCTCAGGACTGATGAGGACTCCTTAGACTGAGTGAGAGGGCAGGAGGTGAGAGCAGGGCTGCTGCCTGGAGCCACCACAGTCCCCCTGCACAGCTTCCTGAGCCCACCTGGAAGATGCTGGCTCCATAGGGCGCCCTCCAGGCGTTGAGCAGGTTGTCCTTCCCCGTGCTCACAAACCACTTCCCTGGGACAGGGAAGACAAAAAGACAAAATGGGAATCAACAGCTGGGACACCATTCAGGGGCTAAACCACAGGAATAAATCTGAGGCTATCCACAGCCCAGGCAGAAAAAAAGGCCCTTGCCTACCACAGGAGGCGAATTTGAGAGAGAGGACACAGCTCTCGTGGAGGTGCAGCTGGTACTTGTCGGGTTTGGTGACGTGCAGGATCTCCACGTTGCTGCTCTCCATGCCCACGGCCAGCCACTCTCCCATGGGGCAGTAGCCCAGGGAGAAGATCTGAGGGGACACACAGGCTCACAGGCTGGCCCAGCAGCAGGTGCCAGCTGGCCCAGGGTGCTCAGAGGGCTCCAGCCCTACCTGGGAGCTGAAGTCGTGCTGCTGCAGCTGCCGGCCCTCCCGCAGGTCCCAGCAGCGCACGGTGTTGTCCAGGCCCCCTGTCCACAGCTTGGTGCCATCGTTGGAGATGTCAATGCAGCTGGCACCGTCTGTGTGGCCTTGAAACTGCCTGGGAAAGAGAGGGATGGAGAGGGAGAGGGCACAGCTGGCAGGGCAGGCAGCACCTGCAGCACGGAGCGAGGGCAGGGCAGCAGTGAGGAGTGCAAGGACAGGCACTGTGCCATGGCCAGGGTCACACACAGGGACATGCTGCAGGGGACAATGAGGGGATCCTGGCCAGAGGAGTCCCCAGCAGTGCTGCCCTGCAGCCCCTGGCCCAATCTCACCTGACCAGGGTCTGGTTCTGCAGGTCCCACACCACGATGTTGCCGTCGCTGCAGCAGGAGAAGCAGACTTTGGCGTCAGGGCTGATGGCCAGGGCGTAGCAGGCGGGGGCAGAGGAGGTGAACTCAGCCTTGATGCGGGGCGTAGGGGCTGCCAGGTCCCAGATGGACAGGGTGCTGGCCTCCCCCCCCACGATCAGGCTGCGCCCGTCGGGGAGCAGCTTGCAGGAGCGGATGTAGTTGTCACGGTTCTGCACGGGGGGCACAGGCAGCAGGGCAAGACAAGGAGCACATGGTGAGCACACAGGGCCTGGCAGGAGACACTTCTCCTTCTCCCACTGCAGCTGGGAAAGGCCCCTCTGTCCCCTGCACTGCAGCAGGGCCACATTCCCCTTGCCAGCCCCAGCCCAACAGCATTGCTGCTCATCCTCCTCCTCCTCCTCCTCCTCCTCCTCACCAGGCAGTCGAGCTGAGCCACGGCCGTCTTGGTGCCCGGCTGCCCCACGTCCCAGACCTTGACGCAGCCCTTGCCCCCGGTGTAGACGTGTCTGGTGGAGTTGCTGATGGTGACAGCACAGACCACCTCGCCGTGGCTCAGCGTGTGCAGCTGCCGCGCGTGCCGGGGGATGCCGGAGCCCAGCAGGGCGTCGGGGGGGAAAGGCACCGGCTGCATCTGCCCGTCTGCACTGACGTGGAAGGAGTAGGCACTGCAAGGGAGCAGAGCGGTGAGGAACAGAGCAGGATCCTGCGTGGGCAGGTGCCACGCAGGTCCAACACAGGCAGGATGGTCTGGAGGCAGAGGACATGGAAGGAGAAGGCACTGGAAGGGAGCAGAGCAGTGAGAAGCAGAGAAATGAGAAGCAAAGCAGGATCCTGCATGCACAGGGGCTGGTGCCACATGAGTCCAACAGGCACCATGGGCTCGTGGCACCAACAGGCAGCACGATTTGGAGGCAGAGAACATGGAAGGAGAAAGCACTGGAAGGGAGCAGAGCAGTGAGAAGCAGAGCAGAATCCTGCATCCAGGTGGGTGTGCTGGACCGGGACTTCAGGTCCAATACAGGCAGCACAGTTTGGTGTCAGAGCCATGAGAAGCAGAGCAGTGAGAAGCAGAGCAGAATCCCCCAATGGCAGGTGCCATGCAGGTCAACCAGAGGCAGCATGGTTTGGAGGCAGAGGACATGGAAGGAGAAGGCACTGGAAGAAAGCAGAATGGTGAGAAACAGCAGAATCCTGAGTGGGCAGGTGCCATGCAGGTCCAACACAGGCAGCACAGCTTGGAGGCATAGCCATGAGCAGATGCCAGCTGGGCACACAAAAACCACAGCCCAGCTTTCCCTCAGGCTTTGCTCCCTGCCGCCCTCAGCTTGTCCACAGAGCCCAAATTCACCCCCAGAAGCCTCCACATCCCCTCCTCCCCCAGCACAGCCCCCATCCAGCATGGTTTGGAGTCAGAGCCATGGAAGGAGAAAACACTAGAAGGGAGCAGAGGAGAGGCCTGAACAAGCCCTGTGTGATGCCAGGGGCAGGAGGTGATCTCTCTGTTAGCCACACTCAAGGCAAGGTGGAATGTGCCCAAGGCAAGGAGGAAGGTGCCCAAGCCAAAAGGTGGAAGATGCCCATTATGCCCTGGCTAATGAGGGGTTTAATTACCCAGCTCCAGCTGCCAGGAAGGAAATGGCAGCGCTGGATTCAGGATTGGAGAGCAGCTCCCCCTCAGGTGAGCCCTTGGGCGGGAGATGCTCCCAGCTCCCACCTCAGCCCCTTGTCCCCACCCTCCCTGCAGCCACTTACGCTTTCCCTCCAGGGAGTGAAGAGGAGAGGGTGGAGGCCCTCAGGTGAGGGTGAGACTCAAATGCCACCTGCACAAAGCAAAGGGCACATGAGGAGCAGAGCACAGGACACCAAAGCTGAGCTCTGGCCTTTCCCTGCACACCCTGGGACCAGCCTGGCTCCGTGCAAGCCTCCTCCTCACATACAGTGACAAAGACCAAAATGTGTTCCCACAGACACGAGTGGAAGGAGTAGAGGCTTCTCTGAAGATTCCACCAACCCCACATCCCACCAAGCTGTGCAAGGGAGCCCTTCCTATGGCTGCAAGCCCAGATGGTGCCCAGGGCACAGGCAGCAGAGCCAGGACGCCCAGACCCCTCCTCAGTGACTCACCAGGGGTGAGCGGCCGTGGGTGCTGCTGGCCTGGGGCACCGACAGCTGGGTGCCCGTGCAGAGGCTGGGGCTGGCCTGGGGCACCACGGCCAGGGAGGACGTGGAGGGGCTGGAGGAGCTCAGGGGGCTGCAGGGAGCTGCACGAGGAGAGAGCCACGGCTTGGCCCTGGCGGCACCCGGGGGAGAGGGGGGGACACCTGGTGACTGCACAGCCACCCCCTCCCACCCCACAGCCAAGCCCCGAAGCAGCCAGCTTCGTGCAGCCCCACCAAATGACAACTGAGCAGAGAAAAAGAGATTAAACCCCTGCTGTACCCCAACCACCATACAAGCCCAGCAGGTGTGTGGCAATGGCAGAGGGGCTCCTCTTGGCCATGGTTTATAGCTCTGATCTTGTGGAGCAAAATGGCCCTGCCAGCTCTGCTGGTGGCAGACAGGGTCCTGAATCCTCCATCCCATCCCACCAGAGCAGAGCAGGCCCTGTGCTGCCCTGGACACTCAGTGACACCCCTGGGCACACTGAAACCCCCAATGCTGTCCTGGACACTCAGTGACACTCCTGGACACTCAGTGACACCCCCATGCTGTCCTGGACAGTGACACCCCCCATGCTGTCTCTGACACTCATTGACCCCCCTGGACACTCAGTGACACACCTTGTGCTCTCCTGGACACTCAGTGACACCCCTGGACACTCAGTGACACCCCCATGCTACCCCTGACATTCAGTGACACCCCCTGTGCTCTCTTGGACACTAACTGACACCTCTGGACAGTCAGCAACACCCCTGGACACACTGACCCCCCCCCATGCTGTCCCTGTCACCCACTGACCCCCCTACACTCAGTGACACCCCCATGCTGTCCCTGTCACTCAGTGACCCCCCTGGACACTCAATGACCCCCCTGGACACCCTGACACCCCCATGCTGTCCCTGTCACTCAGTGACCCCCTGGACACTCAGTGACCCCCCCCCCGTGCTGTCCCTGTCACTCACTGGCGCTGTCGGTGCCCGGGGGTGGCCGCAGCGCGATGGCCGAGCTGGGTCCGGGGCCAGGCGTGAGGGAGTCACGGGCTGGTGAGGAAGAGGAGGGCTTGGAGGCGGCAGCGCGGGCCACTGAGTGGGTCTGTGCAGCACAGGGAAGAAGAGCAGCTTCAGCTGTGGGAGCAGAGCCTGGGCCAGGATCTTCCACACCTTGGAGGGTGGAAGGAGCTCCTGGATGGAGCTGGACAAGGATTGGCCATCCAGGTCCCCTCTCCTTTGCCCCTCACATGTCCCCGCTCTCCCCACAGCTGCAAATGCCCCGTGCAAGCTTTGAATCACCCCAAACTGCCCCAACCCTGCACTGGACACATCTGCTGCCCCCTCAAGCAAATTTCCCCCTGGCACCAAGAGGATGCCTGGCATGAACTGGCCTCTCCAATCCCCACAGCTATTTCATTCCTTGCTTTTTTTTTATTTTTTTTTTCCCCCTGCCTGCCTCTCCTATTTCTTCTGCTTTTTTTTCTGTCTGGGGATTTTGTCGACACCAGCAAAGGAGAGGAAAAAAAAAAAAAATTAATAACAGAGAAAAGCTCCGTGCTGTGCTGGCAGATTGCTCAGGGCGCTTTGTCTGCTCTAATCCGATTGTGCTGGGGAGCTGCTGCTCGCTGCTGCCCACAGCCCCCAGCTGGCTCCTGACCCCAGATGGGGGCACAGATCACTCGGTCCCTGCGGCGGCTGGGAGGCCAAGGAGTGGCAGAAACATCCCTCCCTCCCCCTTCCCACACGCTGATGTTTCAATCTGAGCCGCTGGACTGGTGCTTGGCAAGGAAAAGGGAAAAAAAAAAAAAACCACACAGAAGCAGGAAAAAAAAAAAAAAAAAAAAAGAGAAGAAGGAAAAATCAATTGCTGTGAGCAGCTCTGGGGAATCCTGCAGGCAGATGGGTGGAGAGCAATGCAGAGCTGTGCTGTGCCCAGCAGCGCTCGCCCTGCCCCGAGGGCACGGATCTGTCCCCGGGTGGAGGTGCCAATGGGCACAAACCCAGCATTCCTATCCGGCTGTATATGGCATTCCAGACTGGCCATAATGAGAAATTCCCATCCCAGCCCCGGGGCTGCTCACCGGGCTCTGCTCCCGGTGCTCCCCGCTGGAACCGACGGACGCGGGGCTCGGGCGGCTCCGGGGGCTGCCGGGCTCCGAGGGCGGGTCCTGGGGGGAGAACAGCGCTGTGGGAAGCAGGAATGTCCCTGGGTAGGAGGGCAGGGTGCCTGGGGAGCCAGCACCACCCCATCAGTGCCCTCGGTCTGAGTGAGGAGCATCCGCGCTGCGTTCTGCTCCCCTGGATGAGAAACAGCCTCGGTTTTTCTCTTTGGATAAAATGAGAGGTGACAGCAGGTTCAGAGGACACTGGTGGCCAGGGATGTCTTCACAAGGAGGGATGGGGATCAGCACACACGAGGAGCTGAGACAGGGCTGCCATTTCAGAGGCAAGGCCACCCCTCAGCTCTTGCACTGCCATTCAACCAGGTCTGTGACATTTTATCAGCACAATGAGCAGATTTCATAAGCCTCATTTGCTGCAGAAATTCCTCCTGATCTTCCTTTCAGGGCTTGTATTTCCTTAGGAAGTGGCACAAAAAGACTTCATATCTTTCTCTCCCCTCTGTCTTCTAAGAAGAAAATAAGCACATCCCCAAAAACATCTTCTCTACCAAGAACAGTGGTGGTGGCTGGGATCAAGTTCTGTCAGGTGTGCCTCAGTCAGGAAAGGCTGTACCAGAAGCAGAATGTGGCAGTTCCATGGCAGAAGACTGGAATTCAGTGAGGTGAGTTAAAGCTGAGGCTGCTCAAGGGCCAAGACAGGGGAGAAAGGGGCTCAAGGCCTGGGGCTGGCAGTGCCAGGGTGTGCCATGAGGCTCCTGCCACCTCCAGCCACAGGAGCTGCCAGCAGTGAGCCCAGCTCCATGGAGCTCTCATCCCAGCTTATCAGCCTCCCCATATGGGATGCTGCAGCAGAGGGGCTGACAGGGGACTGTGAAGCAGAGCCAAGCCTGTGGCTGGCAAAGCTGAGCCCTGGCTGGCACAGCCCTCCCAGAGCAGTGGGAGTGGAATCAGTCTTGGCTGGCACAACGCACTGGAGCAGGGCTGGCACGTGTCCTGGCTGGCCACTGCTGCCCTGCAGCAACGAGCTGCAGCCTAAAGAACCCCAAACCTGGGGAACCAGAGCCCTAAACCCAATCCCTGCAGCTGGAGGAGGATGCCTTGCCTAAGGGGCTCTAAGGGCTCACCTCATCCACCACCAGGTTGTCGTCACTCTTGTCCCCATCGCTGTCCTGTGAGAAGGGAGAAACCCAGAAGGGCTCAGTCAGCACAGGGAGATGCTGGAGCAGGCTCAGTGTTCTGCCCCAGAGTGACCCATTTTCTCCTGTACATCCCTCCCTGGACCCATTTTCTCCTGTACATCCCTTCCTGAACCAACACCAGCCAGTTCTGCTGGCAGTGACCCAGCCTGGGGCTGAGGGGCCTCCCTGGGGCTCCTCATTTGCTCTGTTCTTGCTCCCAGCACAGCAGCCCTGTGCAGCAGGGTGGGCACAGAGCTGCCCAGCCCCCTCCCCAGCCCAGCCCAGCCCTTGGGGCACTCACAGAATGCCCAGGCAGCTCCTTCTCGTCCCTTTTCCTCTTCAGCCCCATGCGCTGCTCGTCCTGCAGGCTCTCGGCAGGGGAAGATGAAACGCTCTGAGGCAGAGGGGAAAAAGGTGTGAGAGCCACTGTGAGGGCAGGCAAGCACCCCTCAGCCCTCAGTGGGGCCAGGCCCTGCTCCATTACCACCTCCATCCTGTAAAAGCATCCCTCAGGCTGCTGGGAAGGAGCCCAGAACCCCAAGCTAAGTGAGGGAGATCCAGCCCTGCAGAGACAGCAAGCAGAAAATCCCCACTGGAGCTGTGTTTGCTTCACCTCAACCCTGCCAGGAGGTTTTGGAAGCAGAATGGGGCTGAGCAGGAAGAAGAGCCCTCCCCCAGGTGCTGCTGGCAGCTGCAGGGGTGTCACACATCCCCACACTGGTGACAATGCAGCCAGAGGTGACAGAGACGCCCCATGGCAGGGCTCCCTGCAGCTGATGGCTCCTGGGTGTGCCTGGGCACTGATGGCATCACAGACACCTCCTCTCCTTCCTCCTCTCCTACAGATCGATGCCTGCAATTCCCCAGCAGAGATCATTAACCCTTCCTTCCCCTGCCTGGACCCTGGATTGTGCAGAGCTGCTGTGGAGCTTGCACAGAATCACAGCTCTGGCACTGGGGGGGATCCTAAAAGGGAGGGGGCAGCCAAGGACTGCAGAGGGGCTGAGAGCTCTGAGCCCTGCTCAGAATGATTCCTAAACTGGAAACTCCTTGAAAAGGACAGAGCTGGTTATTTTGGGAGCAGCCCTTGATCTTTAGCTCCTTGCATCAGCAAAGACTGAATTGACGTGGCCCAGAAGCTTCAATTACAAAACCCTGGTGCAAACACAGCCCACCCAGGCCAGCAAAGCTCATCCAGCAGCCCCATCCCTCCCTTCCCAGGAGCCAGCTTGGAGCACACTGGAGATGCCACCAGGGCCAGCTGAGGCCACTGGCCTGTCACAACTCACCCTGCCTGGGGAGAGCTCTGGATGCAGGCAGCAGCAGGAAGAAGATCCCAGGTCCATGTCAGAGCAGAGGGGAGGACAGGGAGAGGTTGTTAATGCCAAGTCTGTGCCCCTCATACCCAGGCAGGAAGGACAGAGGGGCACAGCAGGGCAAACCAGGAAACAGCAGGACACAGGTTTAGAAAACAAACAAACAAAAAAAAACCACAGCAGATTTCCCACTTTGCCCACCTGAAATGTGGATTTTGTGCTGTCTAAAGGGAGGTCAGCACTTTGGTGCTCCTCGGGGAAGCAGGGGAACCTCTACCCACCCACCTCCTTCCAAGAGCTCTGAAATCCCTTCCCCAGACATGAAAACAGATCCAAAGGCCCCAGGAGGGGAGAGCTGGCCAGCTGAGATCCCCTGAATCACACCCATCCCATTTCCTTAGGAAGCCATGCCTAAAAGCCCTGCTTGGAAACTCTCTGAGGCTTTTTGGACATGCACAGCAAAGCAAGTCCCTGCCCTGAGCCCAGGGAAGGAGTGCCAGGCATTTACTGCAAATCCAAGCCCAGGGAACACATTTACTGCAAACCCAAGCACAGGGCTGGTCCTCAGCAACCTTCCCTGGCTGATTTTTGCTCCTAAAGATCCACCAGCATTTAGAGAGAACGAGTCCAGGTCCCTGCTGGCAAGGAGAGGCAGGCAGGGATGGGAAGCTGAGGGATTCCTGTGGGCACTGCTCCAAGGCCATGGTCTGGAGTGGGACCAGATGCCTGCCATCAACCCTGTGCACCCCTGGCTCAGCTTGACTCACACCAGCTCTATGGCAGAGCACTGAGGATTAACCCCAGACAGATGGAGCATTTCAATCTTTTCCTTTTTTTTTTTTTTTTTAAATAAGGAATGGCCCTCACCACAGCCAGACACCCAGGCTGAGAGAAGTTCTGGCTGCCTGGGCTCTGAGGGTTAAGCAGGTTCAGCACAGCACAGCCTGCTTTTATTCTCTCTCTCTCTCTGGACTTTGTTTTCCTCCTTTGTGGAAGCCATCCTTAAAGAAACATGCAGGATTTGCTGTGTGCAGGGAAGGGGGGCAGAGCTGCCACCAACAGCTTCCTGCTGCTCTTTTCACCACCTTGAAATCCTGCAGGCCAAGCCAGACCATGAGAACCTGCAGCAAACCCCACCCATGCCTGGCTTTGCTGCTGCTCTGGGGTCCTGACCCAAGTGCATTTCAGTCAGCACCTTCCCCAGGGGAGTGTGCAGGGAAATGTGCAGGGAAACATCACTCCTGCTAAATCTGGCTGCCTGTTCCCAGCCCACAGAGCCTCTCTCCCTGTCCCAGCCTCCTCTCAGCACAACCACTGTGCTCCGAAAAGGTGATTTGAGCTCAGAGCAGCTCCTCCTTTGTGCAACAGGCCAGGAGCAGAGCTGGGCACAGTTACTCATTTGGCCCAGGCCTGGCAGTAGCATTCAGAGCACTGATTTAATGATGATTAAATATTGATGATGTTTGGAAGGCACTCGCTGATCCTGACAGGAGGAGGTGCCCATCTGGACTAGGAATTAGTGTAATTTACAGGGCACAACACACCCAGTGAAGCTCTGCTTTCTGAATTCCTTGCCCCAGGCTTGTGGCTGTCACAGTTTCTACCAAGGGCTTGCAACAGAATTTTCCTTAAAAGTCTCATCTTTAAGTATCAGATCTTGGTGTAAAAAGAGAGGATTTCTTTGTGGTGGGGATCTCATGCACTGGGAACACCCAGGGGAGCAGGGAGAGCTGTGTGTGTGCACAAACACTTGCCCAGGGCTGCACACACAGCATCACAGCAGAGCAGCCACAAACACAGCCAGCCTCCTGGGGCTGCAGGCATTCCATTCCATGAATTTGCCATCCCCGGGGGATGCAGCAGCCAGGAGCCTCAGCAAAGAGGCAAAACAGCATCCCAGCCTTTCAAGGGTTAACCCAGCCGTGCTTCTCCCCCTTACCTCTGCTCTCCCCATGCTGGGCCACTCTGTGCTCCTTGGCCAGCTGAACCTGAGCCATCAGCGCCCCGGAGAGGGCCAGGAGCCCCGAGCTGGCCGTGCTCAGGCTGGGGGGCTGCGTGCTGGAGGGGTGGGCAGCCAGCGGGAGGGGGGCTGCGTGCTGGGAGAGCTGCTGGAGCTGCTGCTGCTGAAAGAGAAAGAGCAAATGCTCCTGGATGTGGATGTGGAGGAGGCAGCCGCGGCCCGGCCCTCCCTCCCCTCCTTGCAGGCTGCAAAGCTCATGGGATGAGACAGGGATGGGGATGGGGAGGGGGCAGCGGAGCTCTGGGGGCTGCACAGGCTGGGTCACACCCCTGCCCCTTCCCCCGGGGCTGTCTGGGCTCTGCAGGCTCAGCACAGCCTCTTTTATTCTCCCTCTGGACGTTGTTTTCCTCCTGTTCCCCTTCCACCCTTGAGTCTCTCCCTGCAGACACGACCCCAGGCCATGGCTGTGCCACAGGGCACCCAACACCTTCAGGACACTGTGGATAATCCCTTCTCCTCAATGGGTGTATTAAAATAGTAAAAACCCTTAAAATAATAAAAAATGGGTGTGTCAAAATAGTGAAAACCCTTGCATTGTAAAAACTGTGTATGGCAAATTAGTAAAATCCCTTAAATAGTAAAAAAATGGGTGTGCCAAATTAGTAAAAACCCTTAAAAAGTAAAAAATGGAAAATGGGTGTATCAAAATAGTGAAAACCCTTTAAATAGTAAAAAAATGGGTGTGTCAAATAGTAAAAATCCTAAAATAGTAAAAAAATGAGTGTACTAAAATAGTAAAAACCCTTAAATAGTAAAAGATGGAAAATGGGTGTATAAAAATAGTAAAAGTCCTTAAATAGTAAATAATGGGTGTGTCAAAATAGTAAAAATCCTAAAATAGTAAAAAATGAGTGTGTCCAAACAGTAAAAACCCTTAAATAGTAAAAGGTGGAAAATGGGCATATCAAAATAGTAAAAGCCCATAAAAAGTAAAAATGGATGTATTAAAATAGTAAAAATCCTTAAATAGTAAATAATGGGTGTGTCAAAATAGTAACAATCCTAAAATAGTAAAAAATAGGTGTGTCAAAATAGTAAAAAATGGGTGTGTCAAATCAGTAAAAACCCTTAAATAGTAAAAAGTTGGTGCATCAAAATAATAAAAACCATTAAATGGTACAAATGGGTGTATCAAAATAGTATAAACCCTTAAAAAGTAAAAAATGGAAAATGGGTGTATCAAAATAGTGAAAACCCTTAAATAGTAAATAATGGGTGTGTCAAAATATTAAAAATCCTAAAACAGTAAAAAATGGGTGTGTCAAATAGTAAAAACCCTTAAATAGTAAAAAATTGGTATGTCAAATAGTAAAAATCCTTAAATAGTAAAAAATGGGTGTGTCAAATAGTAAAAACTCTTACATAGTAAAAACGGGTGTGTCAAGTAGTAAAAACGCTTAAATAGTAAAAAATGGTGCATTAAAATAGTAAAAACCCTTAAAAAGTAAAAAAATGGAAAATGGGTGTTTCAAAATAGTAAAAGCCCTTAAACAGTAAAAAATGTGCGTGTGAAAATAGTAAAAACCTCACATAGTAAAAAATGGGTGTGTCAAACTAGGAAAAAATGGGTGTATTAAAAGAGTAAAAATTTCCCCCATCACTGCAAATCCCAAACCCCCAGGCAGGGAAGAGTTTTTGCCCCCAGGCAGGCAGTGAAACTCACCCCGACGATGCTGTTGAGCTCGCCCATGGTCACCTGCTTGGCCCTTTCCACTGCCTGCAGGACCTGCTGCTGGTGCTGGGCAGGAAGAGAACGGGGTGGGGTGGTCACACCCTGCTCCTGCCCCAGGGAGCTCCACACTGCCCCACCCTTCCCTGCACAGCCCCTTCTCCCTCCCCTCCAGCCCAGGCTTGAAGTTTTCCTCCCCAAAACCTCCCGTGGTTCAGGCAGGAGTTGGCTCTGGCTTCTTGGGAAGGGGCAAATCAATCTGCTGCGTGCTCCTTACCTCCTGTGTCAGGAAGGGAATGATCTGGGCACAAATGGCACTCAGCCTCTTGACAATCTCTGCCTGAAGGAGGAAAGCAGGAATCAGCAGGTATCACCATGCATGGAGGGCTCTGATCCCCATCCTGTCCCCCCTCCTGCAAACACAAGCTCTGCAGAGGATGAAACTCTCCCCACTGACAGAAATTCTCCTGCTGCCTTTGCATCCCTGTGGGATTTCCAGAGGGCTCTGCCAGGCACAGGGGAGGGACCCCAGGCCTCAATCCCTGCGTGGCCCCAGGCCAAGGCAAGCTCCAAGCTGTCAGTCCCTGCAGCCCAGCTGCCTTTGCTCAGCCCAAACCCATCCTGGCTTTGCGGGCAGGGACAGAGCGGAGCCGAGCCACAGGAGCTGGCAGGGAGCCCTCCCTGTGCCTTCCCTTCCCAAACATCCAGCTCCAAGCCAGGCAGAGCAAGCAGGATGCAGAGCTGCACAGATCCAGCCCTCTCGGAACGGCACCAGTAAATCCCTCAAGGCTCTCTGGTTGTACCTGCCCTGATCTGGAGCACTCCCAGCCTCACCAAGCCCTGGGACAGCTCCTCCTGCCCCTTCAGAGGCACAAAGCACCCCCAGAGCTGCTCCTGCCCACGGGGGAATGCAGAAAACCCGGTGCGTCCTCCGAGGAGAAGCTCTGTGGTTGCAGACAAACCCACAGCAGGGCAAGCAGCACTTCTGAGGAAAGGGGCTGTGACTTCCAGCCCGGCCTCTCCAAGAGAAAACCCCACATTTCCTGGGGAAAAACTGTAAATGCAGCCCGGGGCTGGCTGCTCTGAAGGGTTTTATCAGCTCAGGTTTCTGACAATCCCCGCCGGCGGCGCTGCAGAGGTCAAAGCAGGCTGGGAGCCAAGGGAGAACAAAGGGAACATTTCCCTGCCCTGCCCCACAGCCAGCAGCACCCTGTGCTCACCTGCAGCTCCCAGCTGCTCTCCCACTGTGCCCACAGATCCCGAGACCCCCTCCTGCCCAGGCTCCCACTCCTCAACCCCTTGGCCACCACCTCATGGGCAGAACCCCCATCCCCACCTGGTTTTGGCCACCCCTGGCTCAAATTCCCACTGGATTTTGGGGTGTGTAAGGGTGGCAGGAATGTGGTCCCCACGAGGCTCCCTGCTAACAAAAGGAGCAAACTCGGAGGGGCTGAGCCAGCTGGAGGGATATGGCAGTTGACTTGCCACTTTGTCAGGCATTGGTCCAAACTAATTTCCCTGGCAGAGAGCCCATGATGACTAGATTGATAAATCTGAAGAGGGAAAGCAAATTAAGGCTGGAACAAAAGGGGAACCGGGGAAGGGTGAAAACACTCCTCTGGCTTTGGGAAAGGAAAAGGGGATTAAGGAAAGAAAAAAAAAAAAAAAAAAGAAAGAAAAGAAAGACAATCCATTTGCCTCTGGGCTCTAGCTCCTGCTGTTTCCTCCACATCCCTCTTTCAAGTGGGGCCCCAGGGAAGCACTGCAGGGAGGCACCAGGGCTCACAGCGGGGCTCTGAGTGCTTCTCTTTGGGATGGGGAACTCAATAACACATCCTGACAACTGCTGCATCCCTCTGCAAGGCAGTCCCTGTGTCACTTAGAGCCATTAGAGCTACAGGGCTCAAGGGAGATCATTTTCCAACCTCAGCCTCTTCCCCACCCTCCACTGCTGCTGTCACTTACCTGCTTGTGCATTTCAATGTTGAGGCCGTAGGACATCTCGTAGTACTGAGAGGAAAAGCAAAAAGCACAGCACAGCCTGGTTAGGAGCTGTCCAGAGCAGCTGGCCCAGGACCAGCCCGGGGTTTGGCTGCCTCCAGCCCTGAGGAATGGCTGGGACACTGTGCCAGGAGCCTGGGACAAGGCAGGGAGCAGGCACAGGCTGTTTATTTACACCTGCAGTTTGTGTAAGCCAGGGGAAACCAGTCCTGCTGCCCCCCAAATCCTGTCCTGGCTCTTGGAACCTGTTCTAGTTTCACCCTTCAGCAGCCACCATGACTCTGACCCCAATCCCCACACCTGGGCAGAAAAGGGCACCAGAGCTTTCCTGCTTTCCTCCAGCAAAGCCTGTTCCAAAGGCAGGGAAGCACTTCTGGAAATCCCTGTGAGCCTCAGGGATGTGGGGAGGGATCCCAGCTGAGGGGTGAGAGGAACATGCCCTGCCATATCAACACCCAGCCTCACAAGCAGGGCTGTGCTCACCCCTGGGATATTCTTTGCCCAAAATCACATCTTTTTGCCTCTTGGATGGTGTCACTTGGGTCCCCCCTTTCCCCAGAGGGGCCAGGAAGGTCAGGTGATGAAGGAGAAGGAGCTGCTGTGCTGTCCCCCATCCTCTTCCTCCCAGCAGCTCCTAGCAGGCTCTGAGTGATGGTCAGTCTGTCCTGGGGTCTTTTAACCCTTCATTGGCAACTGCTCCTTCCCCTTCCACCCAAACCATGAGCTTTGGAACATCAACTCTTAAATATCCACCCCTTGGGAGAGAGAGAAGGAAGAGCTGGGAGCTCTCTTACAAGGCCAGATAGAAAAAGGTTAAAAAAAAAAAAGAGAAACAAAACCTATGGCAGGATTCCCGGGCTGAAGCAGCACTGAGCACCAAGAGAAATGGTGATTAACCCCTTCCTGCCCCACATCTCCCCAGCCCCAAGGTCAGCACTGGGCAGGGCTGAGAGGAGCCCCAGCAGCCAGATGTGTTGTGAGGGCAGCAGAAGTGGGGACAGCCCTTCAGGGGACACGGCAGGGGGACAGCTCACCATGACATAATGCCTCTGCATCTCTGTCTTCTCGCTCACCAGCTTCTCACACTCCAGCTTCAGGCTGCAAAGAGGAGCCAGGGCTTCCATTCATGGACCTGCAGCAGCTCCTGCCCCATCCCTGGGGCAAGCTCAGCACATCTCCTGTGTGCTCCTGGGGCTGCAGGGCTGTCACCCACCCTGCCCGGGGCACCTGCAGGGCTGTCACACACCTGTGGCACCCACCCAGAGCTCTGTGCCCTCCCTGCCCCTACACCCGGCTCAGCCAGAGGAAATTTGGCAGATCCTCCCCTTGGGACCCCCACTCAATACCTGGCTCCCCAGGTCTCACTTTCACGCTGTCCCCCAGCCCAAACCTCCCTCCTCTTCCTCCTTCCCCAAGCTCCTTCTGCACGGACGAGGCTCAGTCACCACCATCCACCCCTCCAGAGCCTGCTCCCAAATCTGATCCTTTTAGGACTCAAGGCTGGGTCCCACCAACAGAGCAACAGCTCTGCTGAGCGCCTGGCCCCAAAGCTGCTCCTGTGACAACTCTGATGGCTTCACTCCGTCCTTAAAGACCAGATTGTGCCCCTGAAGGAGCTCTCCACCTCCTCCTTCCCCCGTTATCCCACCGCACTCAGCCCAGCCCAGCCCGGTCCCACCGGCCCCGGTCCCACCTGTGGTACTGCGCCTGCAGGAACTGAAACTCCTCCTTGATTCGCTCGCAGATTTCCAGCACCGAGAACTTGAAGGGCTGCCCGGACTGCAGCGGAGAGACAGCCCGGCTGTGGAGGCTGCGGCTCGGCCCCGCGGCCCGGCCCGGCCCCGCCGCCCCCGCGGCACTTACCGGGTGCCGTCCCTGAGGGAACATCCTGAGGGCTCCCGGCCCCGCCGCTCCCGGGGCGCTGCTGCCGCTCCCGCTCCCCCGGGGGTGCCGGGGTTCGGCGGGGAGCCGGGGTTTGGCCGAGCGGCGCTCCCGGGGTCTCGTTCCCGGGGCCGGGGCGGGGCTGAGGCGGCCCCGGTTGGGGGGGGAGCGGCCGCTCGGCCCCGCGCGCCCCGGCCGCCCGCGCCCGCTTAAGGAGGCGCGCTCCCGCGGGGCTCGGGACGCCGGAGCTCCCGCGCCCGCCGAGGCGCCGAGAGAGCGCGGCGGTGCTGGAGATCGAGGGGAGCTCGGGGAAGGCGCCGGCTCTGGAGATGCCGCTGCTGTCCCGAACGGAGCCGCTCGGGAGGTGCCCGCCTGCACTGCCGCCCCAGACCGGGGCTCACCGGGTGCTGCCCCCGGACCCGCCACGCTCCTGTCCCCCAACGCGGTGCGGAGCTTCCCCCGTCCCCAGAGCAGCTCGGTCCCCGGGGAGTGACGCCGGGCGCTGCCACCGTCCCCGACGCTGGGAGCGGAGGCGGCACCGGCCACCGGCAGGGCAGCGCCCGGGGGCGGACATCACAAACAAGTGCAGCCGGACAGTGCCTGCCGGGCCGGGGACTCCAGGGGCAGCGGGCTGCGGTGCACAGCGGAGCGGGGGTCCCTCGGGACCAGCCCCCGGTGTAACCGGGGCAGCCCCACCGGGAGGGGCGGGCACGACGGGACTGCCCCATCCCGTCCCCTCCGCCCGCTCCACCTTAACCGGCCCGCAGCCTGCAGCGGCGGCGCTGGCACCGGCCATTGGCTGCAGCTGCGGGAGCGCCAGCCAATCGCCCTGCGCGGTTCCCACATGGGCTCGTGACGCAAGGGAGCGGATCCACCAATGAGAAGCGAGCGGGCGGCCAGAGCCCCCAAAGATGCGCCGCGGGGCACGCTGGGAGTTGTAGTCAGCCCCTAGCTACTCCCTCACGGCGGCGGCGCCCCGGGCCGGTCCGTGCGGTCCCTGCCGCCGCCGCGGGCCCGGGGAGCGGCTCGGATCGGCTCTGCTGCGGGGGCCCGGCCCAGCACTGAGAGCAGGCGGGGCTCCCGCCGCGGGCGGCCGGGGCAGGCGGACTGCGCGGCCCACGAGGCCTTGCGGCTGCCGCCAGCTGCCACTCAAAGTAACGTGGGGCGGCTGAGGCGGGCGGACACGGAGCCGCCGGGTTCGGGCTCCGCGGGGCTGCTCCGCCCGGGGAACCCACCGAGAGCCCCTTCCCGGTCCCCAGAGACCCCTCCGGCCGCGGCTGCCGTGAAGTGACCGCGCTCGGGGTCGGTAAAAGCGAGTGAGGAGCAACCTTTAAATATTGCAGGACCCAGCTGTACCTGGGCGCTGCGCGGGCAGGCGCGAGGTTAAATATTTAATGCCTCACATTTCAGCCTGATATTTTATTCATTGTGTTATTTACGTGCTGCATGGTGGCAGGGACAAGGTGCTGGGCGCTGGAGGCTCTCCCTCTTTTTGCCTCCATGGCGTCCGTCCATCCATCCATCCATCCATCCATCCATCCATCCATCCATCCATCCATCCATCCCTCCATCCCAGCCGTTTTTCCCCTTTACCTTTCCCTGGCCACAGGTGTTCACTGACTCAGTGATGGACACCAACTTAAAACCCTCCAAAACCTTCCCTTCTATTCAGTCACATAGATATTTTCTCTGTTTACATCATGTATCTACATATATTAATCCAAATGTAAAGTTTTAAAGGTTTCCCCCCTCCCTCTGTTGCCTTATTGGGACAGTTGAGTTTTTTTGAAAGTGTATTTTCAAAGGCTGGAAACATTTCAGATCGTGTTTCAAGGGGAAGGATAGACTGGAGGGAGATGTTTTGCAGCATTTTTCAAAACTCCTTTCTGAAAATCGCCGGCTTTCCTTGGGCAATCTCTGCGCTCCTGCCTCAGGAGAGTGACACAGGTAAAGCTGGTGGAGTGACGGGTGTCACACGTGTCCCGATCATCCTCCAGCAGAGATTGACACGAGCCCTGGAGCAGCACAGCCTGTAACCCAGAGATTAATTTGTGTTTGGATGGCAGAAAAGAGCGGCACTTAACCCTTGGCACGCCCAGCAGCGAGAGGAGATGGTCCTGCTGCTGTCCCGGGCGTGGGGAATGGGAAAAACGCCAATCCCTTGTTTTTTAAATTTTTAAAGTTTAATAGTAATAAAATGGTTGTGAAAATAGTAATACAATTAGAATGATAATAATTTGGACATTTTGAATTAGGACAATATGAGATAATAAAATTTAAGAGTTATGGATGTCCGGGTACCTTTTTCTGGGCAAAATAAGCCCGAAAAAGGACACAGTTAACAGAGGATTAACCCTTAAAAGCAATAACCTGTTGCATATTCATACACTTCATACATGATACATAAATTCCATTCAAACACAGGATTCTATCTGGTCAGTGTCAACTTCTTCCTCTGAATCCCAACAGCGCCTTCAAGGTGGGAAGAAGTTCATTTCTTCTGATAATGGGGCAATAAATTCTCTTTTTTTGAAAGATTCAGGTGTCCTGTGGCTGCTATTTCCCTGCTAGTATCCTCCATAGCACCGTTTCTATTTTAACTTTTTTTAATAACCCAAAACTATATTTACCACACTACTTAAGAGAATTAATACAGCATCACTTTCTAACACAACACATAATATTCATTTGAATATTAGAAAAAAGCCAATCATAAAACATGCATTTTTCACAGGGACCGTGCTGGGCAGTGGGCACAGCCCAGAGCTGGCTGTCACCACTGCAGGATGCTCAGCCACACTCGTGCCTGGTGGTGGCACAGCCTGGGAGAGCCCCAAGGGATGAAAGTGTTTGAAATCCATGCTGGGATCAAGAGGGAAATGCTCTGAACAGCAGCAGAGAAATCAAACCAGCACAGGGACAGCCAGGAGCTCCATCTGAGGCTGGATCCCAGCAGGAGAAGCTGCTGCTGCTGGGATTTCCTCAGGGATTTTGTGTTTCAGCTCTCCGTGAGTGCCAGCCTGGCACAGGGCGGCTGTGGGTGCTCCAGGGCAGGGCCCACCTTGCTCTGCAGAGACACCAGGGGTGGCTGTGGCTCACAAACCATCCCATTCTCAGCTTGCCTGCTTGGATGAGCTCAGCCCAGAGTGGTTCCTGGCACCCTCAGCCAGTGTGAATCTCCCAGGGCAGCTGGCACAGGCAGCAACCTCATCCTGGCTGGAGTCAGTCCTGGAATGAGCACGAGATGGGAAGGGGAGCTGAGGAAAGGATCTGGCAGCAAAGCAGCGAGATCTGAACCAAAGCTGTGCTGGAAATTAATATTCCCCAGTTCCCTGAGCTCCACTTCCAGGACCAAACTGCAGCCCCTCATTCCCAAAATCCCAATGTCCACTCTCCAAAGCCACATATCCCTGACCTCTGGGGACAAATGTCCCCTCCAGGTGTCCCTGGGTTCTAAACCAGTGAGATCTAAACCAAAGCTGCGCTGGAAATCAAAATTCCCCAGTTTCCTGAGCTCCACTTCCAGGACCAAACTCAAGCTCCTTATCCCCAAAATCCCAGTGCTGGTGTCCAGCTGGCAGCTTCTCCAAAGCCACATGTCCCTGAGCCCTTGGGGACAAGTGTCCCCTTCAAGTGTCCCTGGGTTCCAAACCAGTGAGATCTAAGCCAAAGCTGCACTGGAAATAAAGATTCCTGAGCTCCACTTCCAGGACCAAACTGCAGCTCCTCATCCCCAAAATCCCAGTGTCCACTCTTCAAAGCCACATGTCCCTGAGCCCCTGGGGACAAGTGTCCCCTCCAGGTGTCCCTGGGTTCCAAACCAGCCAGATCTAAACCAAAGTGTAATGGAAATTAAGATTCCCCAGTTGCCTGAGCTTCCTTTCCAGGACCAAACTGCAGCTCCTCATCTCCAAAATTCCAGTGCTGGTGTCCAGCTGGTGGCTTCTCCAAAGCCACACACACATCTGTCCCTGACCCCTGGGGACAGATGTCCCCTTCAAGTGTCCCTGGGCTCAACACCAGTGAGATCTAAGCCAAAGCTGCACTTCCAGGACCAAACTGCAGCTCCTCATCCCCAAAATCCCAATGTCCACTCTCCAAAGCCACATGTCCCTGACCCTCTGGGGACAGATGTCCTCTCCAGGTGTCCCCTCCAGGTGTCCAGCTAGATCTAAGCCAAAGCTGCACTGAAATCAAGGTTCCCCATTTCCCTGAGCTCCCTTTCCAGGACCAAACTGCAGCTCCTCACCCCCAAAATCCCAATGTCCACTCTCCAAAGCCACATATCCCTGACCCTCTGGGGACAAATGTCCCTTCCAGGTGTCCCCTCCAGGTGTCCCCTGCAGGTGTCCCTGGTTCCAGGGGCTGCAGAGGAGCAGTGGGAGCCCTCAGAGCAGCCCAGCTCTGCTCTCTGCCTTCGATCTGATCCCTGTGCTGGCTGCTGTTTGCACTTACCAGCTCTGAGTGGTTTTTAATTATTGATGAATCCTTGAGCTTTTATCTGGCGCTGCTGCTGCTGCAGCCAGGAAGAGCTCGGCGTTCCTGCATGAGCAGCAGCTGGGAAGGGAGCCCTGCTCCTCCTGCATTCCCCTGCCCTTGTTTCGGACAGGGCTGAAAATGAGGAGGGTGGGAGGCACAGAATCTCCCTCCGGGGGTTCTGTCCTGCAGGAAGGACCCAGAGAGCTGAAATCCAGTGAAAAATTCCCAGCTGCTCCCTGCATGGAGGAAGGAGGCTGGGTTTGAGCCTCCAGTGCCAGGCAGGTGGAAGGGAGGATGTCACAGATGTATTTTATGAAAAATCCTTTCATTAGGATCTTTTCTCTTGAGATGTTTCATCTTCTCCACGTTTTGCTGCTTTGGAGTGTGATTTGGAGAATTGTTTAGCCAGCATGTGAAATTGTTTTTACTTGATGACCAATGACAGCCAGCTGTGTCGAGGCTGTGAGCAGTCACAAGATTTTATAATAATTCTTCTCTTTTTAAGTCTTCTAATGAAATATTTTCTTCTATTCTTTAGTATAGTTTTAGTGTATCATTTTCATATAATGTAATGTAATGTAATAATATGATATA